ATACAAATTTTTGCATGCACTTGGCATACTCAACCATCTAGACACCTCTAAAATTTCAATTGCAGATGTTTTTCCAATTTTACAAAACAGTCAAGAGTACTAGCCCTAACTTTATTGCAATAAATCCAAATCACCAATACAAACACTGACTTTGAACAACGATTGCAAAGTCCTCCCAAACCCTATGAAACTAAATCTTACACTTTTTGAAAGAGCTTGAAGCTAGCTCTTTGATTCCAAATCCCGATCTCCAAATGCCCCCCCCATTTTGCCCTAAGCGGCCATTTTAATGGCTAGAGGTCTGGTTTCGACCCCGACCCACAAACAGTCATCTCCCGAATATCAATCCTACTTATCCTAGAGGTTTTTCAGCACTTTCCTATCCTCAAATTCACCTTATTATCTACCATATCATTTTTTTTTACTTCATCTACCTTATTTTTACTAATTTATGGCCTTTCTAAAGTGGTAAAATAGTTTCTACAATCTAGAAAGAAAATTTAATGACAAGCTTTTATCTACTAGCTATTAAGACAAGAAAATACTCTAAAAGCTTTTATAAAGCCTTCTTAAATTGTCTTGAGCTCTTATCAACCAAGATAACTAAATATTAATAAAATCTTTTTCATTTATATTTTCACCATATAGTCGTGTTACAACACGACAACAGATGACCATCTATGACTTCTACATGTACAGATTTAGTTTTTTGTATTAACTATATATTATGATTTTTAATAAATTCTTCATCTTAAAAACAAGTTGAGGCTCTTGAAACTATTAAAGCAAAGGCTTTGTGATTATTAGATCCTAAATGCACATCTATTATAAAACAAGGAGAGATTTTTGAGGAGAGAATAGGACCTTCATTAGGAATTGTACAAGATTCCAGCTGCACGGTCCCTATTATAGTTGGACAAATTCATTTTCTGACATGTTTTCATCTTTGACAGCAGTACTTCTTATTTTTTAGTTGCATCATTTCTTTGGACAATATTGAGCAGTGATCTTAGTTTCTCCATAATATAAATATAGTCCTTCTTGATGATAACGAGTCTTTTCTTGTTTGATAAGAGGTTTAAATCATATTGCATCAATTTGCATGTCTTCTACTTCCAAATGTTTAGATTGAGGAGTCCTTGGTGTTGTCATTGAATTGTAATAATGTTGAGGTTCCCTTGTGTGATTTTCAAATCAGAATTCAAATAGCTAATTGTCATATTTCACAGCAAAGTCAATTGCTTGACTCAATGTCTAAGGGTTAGATAAATTGAACATCAATTTCTTTACTTCATATTTTAATCTATAGAGAAATTGGATGATGAGTGCTACATTATCCCACTTAATATCTGTCACTAATTATCAAAATTATAAAGTGTATAATATCGCTAATCTATTGCCTTGTCGCAAGATACAAATCTTATTGGTTACAACATGGATTGTATCATGTTCTCTACACATACATCAAAACTTTGCTAAGAATGCTTCCAAATTATCCAATATTAGATCATATCATTCAAGAAATGATGAAAACCATGATAAAGCAGAACTTGAAAGTAGTATTCCAATAAACTTGACTTATGATCTTTGAATTGGATAACTTTGAGATTGTAGTTCAATCACCAGTTGTACTTGATTGATGAATCCTCAAAACTTAGATCTTATGCCATCAAACTTTTTAGGCAATCCAATTTTTGGTTCCTTGAAACTTGAACGATATTTTATTGTAAGAGCAGTAGTATGGCTTGGTATAGATGTTGAAGCAACTCCAATCATTTCTATATCTTCATTGCTTGATAATCTTGTTGCTCCTTGTGGTGGTAGACTGAATTGATGCATTGCAAGCATTAACTCTCTCATTTTTTCTTGCATTTGAGCCATTGCACTCTTCATTTTAGTAAGCTCTACCATGCTAGTACAATAAAAAATAAAAAAAATAAAAAGTATCTATTTTCACAAAATACAATACTGAAGAATCAAAAATAAATAAAAAAATAAAAAAATAAATCTAGAAATAATATCAATTTAGAAGAAGATAATCCATAACTTCTAATATGCTTATGTCTTATCAAGAAAAAGAGGTAATCCACTCTTACTCAAGAAAGGACAAAGCTCTGATATTATATGTATATTCTTGTTAATTTGTCAAGGACATAAACTTATGGAATCTATATCAAAAAGAAAGTGACTAAATAGAAGAAAGTATGTATATTCAAGGAAGAATCGGAATAGCTATTGCCAAAGACTATAAAACATAAGACTCTTGAAACTAGACTAAAAATAAGAAAGGAGTTGACAACAGAGAAGAAGGCCTCACTCTTGTTTCTATATATACTACTTAACTAAGAAATATGTAGCAACATGCTATAAGACCTCTAATACGCGTCCAAATTGTAGGACATATGTCTAATTTGCAAAGCAAGTTTCTTAGGTGTACACCATATGTCCAACTTGTACTACAAGTAGTCAACATGTCGACATGTGGCCTCCTTGTTGGCCAAGTTTTCAACCTACCAATCACTTATAGACATGTATAAAGGCAAAGCAGCATCTATGAAGCTTCTAAGAAGCTTTCTACAAGCTATTATCATATTTATCTACTTTGACTTACTTCTACCTATTTTAATTATTTAGATAATTATCAAGATAAATATGTATGTCCGTGATAGGAATTCATTCCTAAAAGGGAGAAATAATGTCACATATATATATATATATATATATATATAGCTATTGTAATTATTACTTAGATAATATGAATAGATAGAAGTAGGTAAAAATAGATTAATTTTATAATACCTTCCAAACAAGCTTTCTAAAAGCTTTTTAGACATTGTTTTGACTTTACATGTGTTTATAATTGATTGGTAGGTTAGAAACTTGGTCAACAAATTAATCATGTGCCACATGTATTAATAGCTTGTAAAACAAGCTAATTATGTGATTTCCATATAAAAAACTACATGCCATATGTATTGATAGCTTGTCGAACAAGCTAATTATGTGGCATCCATATAGAAAACTTGCCTTGCAAGTTAAGATACGTGTCATGCAAAGTCAACATGTTTTTAGAGGTCCTATGGAACATCGCCACATAGATCCTAGGTATATAGTATATATAGAGGCAAGAATGAAGCCTTCTTCACTCTTATCAACTCCTTTCTTGCTTCTAGTCTAATTTCAAGAGTCTCTAGTTTCCTTACCTTTTGGCAATAGCCATTCTAGTTTCTTTTTTGATATACATACTTATCTATTTCTATTTTGTTATATTTCTTTGAGAGAGTCTCACTTGTTTATTTACTTTCATCAAGTTCTTATCCTTGATACCTAACAACTTTTAATATAATCTTAGCTATCAATGCAAACATCTTTTGATCAATATCTTCTTTCTCTATTAAGAAGTTTCTATCTTTTGAAAGAAGCAATTTCAAATTGATTCTTTCAAATTTCAACATAATTAGCTATTACAAAGGCCATTTAAAGCTTTATAAGGTTCAAAAAGCTTCTCAAAAAATTGTATAAGTTATAAAATATTTTTAAATTTAAATTATTTTTAAAAATTATTATAATCATATATTAAATATAAACTACTAGTATATCTATCTTGCATCTTAAGATTTTTGACAATATTTTTTTTTATAAATATTATCAACCTAATTTATTTCTATTTTTTTTTTTTTGTATACATCTACTACTATTTATTTAACAAATATACAAACTTATATAAGCTTAGTTATATATATAAAAAAAATAATATTTAATAGTATCATTATTTGACCATTTATCATCTATAATAAATTCATGATATTTTTTGCCAATTTTATGAACATTTTGGAGAGTATTATAATTAAGAAGGATATTTCTTCATTAGTAAAATTTAATACTACTTGAAAGCTAAAAGACTTCTAAATGAATTCATTTATTTTTTGAGCTTAAAAGTCATTATATATTAAGTCTGAATATTAGACCTAATATTTCACAAATCTTACACTTCTATCTTAATTTTCAAAAACGACATGATAAAAATTACGGTACTCTAAAAACATATTAGATATTTTTACTTTTTACTTTTTTGTCTCATTTTGTCTTTTTTTTCTTTTTATCTCTTCTTGTCTTTAAGATTTTATTGCACTCATCTGAAAACTATTGAGACAAATAGTCACGTAGTAAAATAAATAAATTAATGTAAGTCCTTTTAATAAGTGAGTTCACATAAAAAGTTAAAGATAAAATTAATAAAAGATAATGACATTTTAAACATGCACACAAAAAAAACTCTTTAAATATTTTAATTAAGCATTGAATTTATTTTGAAATAATGTTGGGCTAAAATTTATTTTTATATTTAAAAAATAATTATTACCAAAAACAATACTGATTAAAAAAAAAAAAAAAAAAAAAAAAAAATCTTATATGTATATGATAAATAATTCAGTTTCTGGTTTTTATCTAGTAAGATTTAATTTAGTAGAGAATTTATACCATATGGAACATTTATGGGATTTACAAAAAGTTAATTTAGGTTTTGTTATAGAAATTATTTTAAAAACGTTTATCAAGTCTAATTTACAAAGGTTTTGGAATATATTCATAGCTTAACTTGAAACTATATTTTAATAAAAACAATAAGACTTAAAGGGTAACATGATTTTTATATTACAATAATGTCGAGTTATTTCAACTTTAGAATCTTCTACCTACATAATCCAAAAAGCATTGTTGCATACGAAAAATAAAATCATCCAAAAAACCACAATAAGTCTTGCATAGAGGATGAGAGCAAGACTTTACATATCTGCATTTTAAAAGTTCAATAGCTATTATCTGGTGCTTGTTAAGTAATAAACGCATAGATAAATTCACACTTGTGTGGTACCAACAAGTGCAAATCTTGAAATCAATACAAAAAAAAAAAACAAAAAAAAACAAAAAAAAAAAGTAGGAGCTTCAACTACAGGAATATGTTAGAGAAAGCTTCCACAGAAAATCAAGAGTGACAGTTTTGAAGGGAATAAGAAAGGAAGCCACATGTTCTAAAATTCATTTCATGCTTACAAACTTACATCCAAAGTCAAGGTAGTGAAAGCCATCTCCACACTAGGAATCTGCAAAATCGTTGTAGAAAAACCGTAAAAGCAGTCCATCTCAGAGAGAACTATAAATGGGCAGTGCAAATTGCCTTATCAGTCAGGATTACTGAATGCCTTGCGCACAGATTTTAACTCTGGAATCAGCAACAAACGCCCAAGCATCAAAAGAGATCCAGTGAAAAAATTCTGCTAACTTTGAGAATTGGAATGTGTGTTTCTAAGAACAAACTTTTGAGAGGGCCTCTCACCTTGATTGATCAGTTGATAGACAACAGTGACCTGTTCTTCACGGTCTTCCTTCTCGCTCCATAGAATGCAGGTAAAGGTGGAATGGCAGGGGGGCGTATTGAGGGTGAGTTCGATTTCTCAAGTGATGTCTCAGTCTCAACAGAGTGAGCAGGAATTTTTACTGCCGTCTTCTTGGCTGCTATGAACCGTCCTGTCGGTGATCTTGCGAAGAATTGTCCCACGTTCAGCTTACTAGAAGCTCGGTTGGGTTCGTCATTGACTAACCTTGCTTTGCCCACCTCTGTCCCTGTAGAGTTGGGGTTTGGCGTGCATGCTAACTTCTCCTGGGTCAAAATATCAACAGCAAGAATGTCCCTCTTCATGGTTAATAAAGCCTGGCTGGCAACCTCATCAAGCCCTGCAAGGTCATCGTCATCACTTTTGGAAAGTTCTGGTTCGGGAGTCGAAGGACTGTGCACATCATGCATTGTGTAATCCTTTCTTGGTGCTTCTGAGGCCGCCGGCTTTGTTTTTCGACTTTTCCGTGATTTCCCTGTAAAGCTGTCACCATGATGTTTTCTGGCTTTAGCACATCGAGCTCTCTTCCTTTCATTTAAAAAGCTGTGGTGTTCACAAAGCGTGTGACCCTCCATGGCCATCATGGGGCACTGCCATTTCGAGGAGTCATTGCTCCCATCCTTCCTGGCACACCTAATACCATCTTGTACTCCAGTTTCTGCTATGATTCTGGCTTGCATGGCCTTCAGAGAGCCTGGGATAGCGCCCCTAAATCGGATGTTCCGTTGAATTTGCAAGTCTTCATCCCCTGTCCTGGACTTCCTGCTCTTGAAAGATCGATTTGGCACAGATTTGGATTTGGCATGTGTTGGCCCTGCCCTGTCCAGATCTGATTCGGTGGATTCTGTCGGCATAGATGGGCTCGGAGCAACAAGTCCACCACTGTCCTCATGTTGCTGTTTTTGAAAGTCTGTTGCAGACTCACAAAGATTCGTCTCAAATGTCTTCTGGAATGCTTTCCTCCGAGTCTGTACACCTGCACAAACCCGCACGTTGACAGAATTCGACAACATGTGCATCCCTTCGTGGACAAATTTGGAGGGCACTCACCAACGATCTAAAAAGTATCAATCATTGTTGTTTTGCATGAGTATTACGTTTCTTACTATGAGCAACAATACTCGCAGGGACCCTCTACATATGATGAATAAGGGGAAAAATACAAACATGTTTCGCACCAGGGCTTTCACAGAACTGCTTTCTCTTGGATGATCTCTTTGAAGACGGTTGAACAAGAAATTCGCACAGGAGATATCGTCCCTTCACTTCTTCAAAATAAGGACCATTTTTCAAGTGAGCTTTCACTTGCTCCCTCCAATTGTGCGCTAACCTGGGCAACGATGTCTGAGTTGCAAAACTGGAAAATAGACCCCGCAATGACATGCCCTCCCGGCCAGCTGCCAGCAGCTGCAAGTAGAGTGAGTGCAGCAATGATCCTTCTGGTTCCATTGACGGATGATCGCCGTCTTCATTGCTAATGCAGGGTATGGCTGATCTTGGTAAGTTTGCGTTTCGAGCTATTTCTGGAGAACGAAAGTTGGTCTTCTTCTGTGAGTTGAGTAACTGATCATTAACACACAGATCTATCTGCATGTGAACATATGAATCGTCACATCAGTTGAATGTCTTATTAGGAAGTAAGACATTTTCTTAGAGATTTACCCACAAACTTCCTGACTAAAACGGAGTGACGACGCATCTATGTGGGCATCAGTGCTAGCAGGAACGGCCGTTGATCTTTAACTATGTCTTTTAGTCATGTAAGCACAAAAGCCTTCATCCTGATTTCACTTAAAAGACAAGCTATTCTGCATCTTCCTAATCAGAAATTCAACAGATCAAATATGCAATCATTTCATGTGTTAGTTCTGAAGCTAGGTCAGGATTCACAGGATCGTGACCGCAACTGGCCTTCAAGAAGTCATAGAGTAGAAAACTATAAGAATTCTCTGGCATAAGTTACAAATTCAGAATATTAGGGTTTCTCAAACTACATCCATCAGTTCCGTTGGCTCTGTCAGGAATTTGCCATGAGAAGCGAAAATCCAAGAAACAAGGAAGGTCTCTTGATCCAAGGCACATTTACTTGTCATAGTAAACAAAAGCATGATTTAATCAACATTCTCGTCCAAGTACATTTAGGACAAGAAAAGACCGTCTGAAAATAGACTACTCTAATGAGGGGAACCCCGACCAACTACATCAGGTCATCGTACTCGAAAGCATTGTTTGTCATGGCAGATTCACCTTGGGAATTGCAGCAATTTTGTCTTCACCTGGGGTATTTTCCTCAGATTGAATTGGAGTTACGCCATCTCTCCCGTCTCGAATGCCATTCCTTCGCACATAATGTCTTGAGGGATTACCATCGTCATCTTCTTCTTCTTCATCATCTTGCATGTAGCTTCCTGAATACAATGCTCGGTCACACTGGTGCATCTGATCGACATTCGTAAACTCTCTGTCCATGGATGGACTTGAAGATAGGCCATGTACCAAGGCCTCCTGTGCCTTTTCTACAAAGTTGAGGCGTTCAGATCTGCAAATCAATGTGTCACTCTGTCTTCTTCCTGGCAGCTTGCACTTGTACTGGTCCTGCACTTTGGTCCATGGTACCCACTCAGGAATATCCTGGACATGCCGTTGCTGCAACTGGCCAGATTGCATCACCTCTGACATCCTTGATATATCAATCGCATCAAGGTCAGATATGGCGTGGTCGATGATTCGCGGTGCCATAGCGCTCACGACTAATTGTTCTCTGAAGTCCATCACTCCGGCTATCTCCGAGAAAGATGTTCCCCCATTACGCACCTCCAAATCTACACGCTTGTTGCAGCCTCCGTCTTGAAAAACGCATGGTAGAAAAGAATCTCGACATGCAGGTAACTGCCGAGATAGCTTTCTGATCCTCATTTTCTTCGAATGCTCCCTAGAGAAATTCGAAAACCCTCTAGTGCTCATGCAACAAGTCAAATAAGAAGTTCAACAATACCCTAAATATAGCGGTTTTTCCACAGCAAGATCATAGTCGCTGTGAATCAGAACGTGTACAATATCTACACATTGCGCGCTACACAGTCTTATAGCCCCAAGAATGCACGTCAGGAGGATATCACTATCGTCACGACACACACGAGTACAGCTTGAGACTCGACCCTTGAATTTATAACTTTTCGATTAGATCATCTGAATCTTTCCGCATCTCAAGGTCTGATAATCTCAGGAACGGGTTTAGAATCTGAGGATGATGCGCGAGACAAGCCCGAGTGGCTGTGAAAGAATCTGAACCAAACTTTGCTATGACTTCACAAGCACTCATAATGTCTTACCTATTTCTTGGGCGGTCACGTGATAACTTCGCTCGAGACGGAGAAAGAACACCATCGACCTGTGATTAGGGGCAGAAATTGTTGCAAGTCACGAATGCAACTAGGCAGATAGCGCTGTGAACCTTCCTCATGCTTGACTTAAGGATGGTTCAAGACCGGAAAAAAAATTGCAAAATTATGAAGCACCAAGAACATGATTGAGGGTTTATCAACTGTGATAGCGGAGGTACCAATGCCGGATCCTCCTCACCACACAGGGTATCTGGCAGACTCACACCCGAGCTTCGTCGCACACAAGATTATCAGCTGCGCAATGTGGTACACCTCCTTGCATGTGCTTGACCTGCCTACAGTGGCCAACGTACGGGTGTGCAGCAGAACCTGAGCGACAAAGAGGTTAACTTAGCGGCAAAGGCATGGACGAAGGAAAGGGGAGGCCACAAACGAAAAGCGAGCAAATTATAAAGATTCGCAACGTCGGAGGCGCAAATCAACCCCTCACAAATGGTCTCCCCTTACACACCCTAGCCTTCAATCTCGCACAGAACAGATCTTGGCGCCACTTGCGGCTAACCCAATGAACCTGGAAAGCGTCGTCGGGAGCGAGGTAGACGACCAACAGACAGACAACTGCAAAGAAGGCCCAAATTTAGTCCCACAAGGGTTTCACGTCAGACGAGGAATGTGATCCTGTTTTAAACAGCCTCGCAACAAGGATAAGGTAATATTGAAGTCTCTGAGCCTCTCCCAACCTCAAGATGGAGTGCAACCATCGATAATACATTGATGTTGCCGAGTTCAATTATCACATTATGCAACGCAAATAAGGGCATCATCACTGCAGTCATTGCAGATGCATTTGGATGCAACCCAATAGCAAGTCACACTCAAGATTCTTGGCTCCCTCAACCTACATTCATGGGATGGATGGCATTGCGGTGACTGCATGGGCGCCAGGCGAACGAACCTTAATCAGCGATGGCCACGCCCTCCCTTCACTCTCCGCATCTCTCTGAGCATTCCTCGACCAACAAAATACATGCACTTTCTCAGGGTTTGCCCCGTTATCTGAGCCGTGCCGCTGCAAGTCGGACACAAAAGTAATCGCTCAGGTGACGCAAATCATGGGCCATTCCCCGATCCGCTGTGACAGTTCTGAAGGGGTGATTCCAGGGAAATTATTTCGGATGTGTGACTCAGTGATGCTTTTGAACGTTATTCAATCTAAGTTTATGTGCTTGCCACACAAGAAGACAATCTGATAAAGAAGATTCCAGAAAAACTGATGGTTACGCTATCAAGAGTAAAGCCCCAAAGCATTTGAGGATGGACCATACGCGTTTCTGCTTAACATTCGTTCTGTTTCAGGCTGCCGTGCTGTCCCGCAAGTTGGCGGCAGCCAGGTTCAACTGACGATTGATCACCGTCAGAATTGACGTAACGCAGAGATTCCATCCCCAACCAATTCCTTCTCAAGGCATTTGGCGTTGCAGACGTTACTGAATGCGACATTCGTGCGAGGAGTGTTTGGACTTTTAGAGTGCCCTCTCAGTGCTCCGAAAGCTTTGCTTCGCAAGGATGGCTCCCGCAATCGATCAAAAAAAAAATTCCGGATATGTCGCAGAGAGCGTATGGAAAGGGTAAGATTTGCTTCACCTCGAAGACTAGCTGAAATTCCCAGTAATTTGGATCATATAAAGTGACTTTCACTGACTTGCACAAAACGAATCGTCTCAGTGTCATGTCGGCAGAGAGAAATCATTCGTCTGGCCTCGACTGCAACTGCTTAGCACAGCGCCTTTTAGCTTTCCTGCCATTCCGCAGAAGTAGACACATGTGTACGACGGGGCATTGATTTTTCTATCTCCACTCATGGTGCCTCGTTCTGACACACCTACGTCTGCAATTAACCTCGCAGGATCATTACTGCAAAACAAAGCAAGAATCGCCGAATCCACCCCAACTCAATGAGCTCAGTAATAGCTCCGTGAAATGGGCCAACACCGCAATCTGAGCTGAATCCCATTCCAACGCATCTCGACCACTATAACATTGTTGCATGTGGCTCCTGCGCAACATCACAACCCAGACAGTGGCCTGTATCATCGGCGGTGGTCCACACCGACGGCTGCAGGATCCAGCTAAAACAAAATACCACATATCATGCTTCGTTTAATTCGAATTCCGGCTATGCTTGCAGCATATGGATCCATGAGTCCATTCTCAGCGTTGTCTGTTTACAGAGAGTTCTTGATTCAACAGTTCAGTGGATGGTAGTTGTCGAAGAATCACACAGATGAAGATTTAGAATTACTTGTTTAATTGATCGTCTTCTCGGCTTGATTCTGCACGAGACTAGATTTCTGGAGCTTTTTGCAAACAAATCCATGACTCGGTGCTTGCAAATGTCGATGAGGGGACGAGATGGTGTCAATTTTACTGTGGACTACAAGTGTAGTGATCGGAGATCGAACCTTCGTTATAGCTACTAAAAAAGCTTCAAAGAGTGCAACTCCATTTATAGCTACTATACAAACTTATTTTTTGAAGCCCATTTAGAAAATTCCTTTTTAAGAACTCAAGATTATTACTTGATTAGAGCTTTACAATTAGTTGTCAAAAAATCATGTCTGCTCAACTAGTTTTTTGTAATTGTTATCTCAAATAATTATTTTCTGAAAGTGATAATTATTGAATTATGTTTTATTGAAAGAAAAAAAATATAATACTTTTTATAAAATTTTATTAAAGAAAATTTTAAATTGTATGCTAGCTAGTTAGATAAATAAGTATGCTTACAAATACAAAATTAATACTTCACATGCAAATAAACCTCATTAGTCCTTAAGATGGATTATTTTAGCTTTTGTTTGTTTTTGATGATTTCAAACTAAGTCAAGGAACTTTGAACAAATATGAGAGTAAAAGTAAAATAAATTATTTTTTAATAGCAATGGGATTTTTCTTTTCTTATGTTTGCAATTTAAAATAACATAATCATAACCTTGAATGTAAAACATATATATATATATATATATATATATATTTTTATTATTATTTATTTATTTATTTATGTTAAAAAATTTTAAAAAATAAATGAATCTTTTTGGATTTTAAATTTTAATTTACATTGAAGTTGAATCATTTATAGTGTCATTTAACAAATGTACTACAATGGATACAATAAAATTTAATTTATCTTAAATTATTATTGCATTGTTCATATTTTTTTATGATAGTGGTAGAAAAAGATTATACAATTTTAATTAATTATTTAATAAATTTTAGTTGTAAAGACTATTTTTTGGAATTTATATACATATGGCAATTCTAAATTCTACAAATTTATTAAACAATTGAATATGGCATAAATCATTATTGATTCAAGCTACAAGCACACCCTAAGTTGCTACACACACACCTCATATTATTACATGCACACCAAAAAAATGTAGAGATTTGTAATTAGTTAGATATTTTTATGTGGATCCTACCACCTGATACAACTATGGGAGATTTGGGGAAGGTGGAAACTTCCCTTTTGGTAGTCTCGTTGACTATTCGACAAGCCAATATAAGGGGCAACACTCCTTATGGAGGTCTCTAGGTCAAAGCCCTTGGAAGTAAATTTAAAATCTACACCTTGTACTTGTGGTTTTTATGCTGATTTTCATTGCACCACACCTTTTGCTAGTTGTATGTGTTTACAAATGTAGTATAATCCACTTATTGGTTAAAAAATTTATATTGATTTCTTATTAAATTGCTAAATTATTAACAACATCAACATGGAGCACAAAACATATATATATATATATATATATATATATATATAAGCTCTTGCAAATATACATGTATATGTTGAATAGTGATACAATCTATCTAATGTTTACAATTTTCAACATGACTAAGTTTTCTACACTAAAAAAGTGTGGACTTTTCTATCAGAGTGTTGCTCCATATAAGTACTCAAACTTCATCTTAGACATGCCAAAAGAGCAACAACCATCACTTGCAAGATGATAGATGATGAGTAAGAACCTCCTTGTGATTCAAGTCAAATTATGTGTTCAATAACAAATAGCCTCTTCTGCATCTATTGATGAACAACATCTTATCCATATTCATTGCAACAAATAAAATGATAGAAAGAGATTTACAAACAAACAATGAATCAAAAATTGATAGATTCCAAAGTTATTACTTAGATGATTGATATTTGGCAATTGAGGACCTTTTTGCATGGTTTGGTTGCGACAAGCAATATTTGTAGTCATTGTTAGTTGATTGGGCTTTATTGAAGGTCCAAGTGCCAATCTTTTATAGCTAAGGATGTATGCTTAAAATTGTTTATTGAAACTGCCATGAAAATTAGTATGATATTGTAAATTATTGAAATAAATATGGAGCAAGAATTCTCTTTTAATAAAGTTATCCATGAACTAGAGATCTTTGCTTCCATAAAATACTGCCAATACAAGGTGTAGATTTCAAATTTATTTTTGAGGGTGCTATCCTAAAAGCCCTCCCAAGAAGCGTTGTTCCTTGAGCTTGCCTAATAACTAGTCAATAAGACCACTAGAGGAGAGATTGCTACTTTCCTTAACTCCTCCATAGTTGTATCAAGTAGCAAGATCTATATAAAAGTACCTAGTCAATTACAAGCCTCCACGTATTTTGGATGCACATATAGCAATATGAGGTGTATATGTGTATGTAGCAACTTTAGGTGAGCTTATAGCCAAAGTCATCAATATTAATATGCATAAGTTGCAATTATTGTATTATTGTCAATTTATTTAATGGAAGTTACATTCAAAAAAAAACTTAGCATCATCTCTTCTATTCAATGTGCATAGAATCTTCATACAAAAAGTTATAAACTAAAATTTTGATAATTTTATGACTATTAAAAAATTTGAAAAATCTATTTTTTGAATAAATGAAGTACATGCTGCATGATAGTTATAAAGCAAAAATACTTTGCTATTTTCTCATGAACAAAGCTTATAGAATTTGTATCAAGACAATTATTCTTATTAAATTCAATCTCTATAGCATAACTAAATAAAGTTCTTGTACTATCACAAGCATATTTGCATGGCTAATAGATGAATAAAAACTCTAAAATCTCTCTTCCAAAATACTGAAAAAAACACATATTATAACATACGACAGTTTGAAACCATAATCAGTGTTGAAAATGCTCAAAGCAAAAAAAACATATATATATATATATATATATACATACATATAGAGAGAACTGTTAATGCTATATTCTCAATTGATATCACTACATGTCACATAATCTCCTGATAGACAACTAGCTAAAAATGTGTCTCTTTCATTTGTGCATTTTTTCTTTTCTTTGGTTTAAGACAAGGTGGTGGTTGAAAGGAATAGAGTGAATATATTATAAAAAAACATGTTGTGAGCTCTCATCTAAAAAAACTAAATATTTGCCTCATTAATTATTTGATTTTTTTTATATATTTGGTTGTAAAAAAAACATCAAAAAACAAATTATTGTTTTTATTCTATTTTTGAATCAATATTGGGTTTAGATATTGGACTACTAAACACACCCTAAATGTAAAAATGCACTTTTTAGTCAATTTAAGTAGTAATATCAATTGGGGATGTAGCATTAACAATTTTCTCTATATATACACACATGTATACTTTGTATTATGATGATGAAATCAAGCTTGCAGTCATATCACAAAAGGTATGAAGCACAGAAGTTAGAAGGTGTACAATTTTAGCATTGAAAGGTTGCAGCTGGTGCGTAGGTTGACATGGTGATCTGCAAGTTTTAACTGCGTCTTGAACTTTTAAGATCAATGGTCTCGACTGGTTGATTTCCCTCCAAGTGGGTGCAAACTGATGTGATTTCTACTGCAATGTCCATTTCTCATCTTCAAATAGGTTCGCTGTGGGCAACACCAGAAAGACTGTAGCTTACATATCTGAGACATATATTTGGTCTGTGCATACGAGCTTGTTCCAATAAACATTGCCAAAGCTATTGTTAAACAGAATCGCAATCAAACTTGCAAGAAAATGTTCCATCGCCTAGACTTGGCAGGCCCCACACCCACATGAATGCTCTGCTATTCGGCATTCCAGACAGCCAAATAAAGCACACAGATCGCCCTCACAAGTTGTGAGGGTTTCGAATTGTGGCACAAGGGCTATTACACTCTTCCTTTGGTTCCTTCACGCAAGAGAGAGAGAGAGAGAGAGAGAGAGAGTACCAGGCCTTGCAGACAAGGAACATCACTTGGTGCAGTTGAATCTGTTGAGCTCCTTATAATTC